CCCCCCGATCTATCAACATCATGCAGTTGTCCATTTTTTCACTTTTTTTCCCTACTTTGTAAATTTTCTTGTGTTGATAGCAGACTCCAAGAATTACATCCAAATGTCAATGCACTCCATTTCTACATAAAAAATTCTGAAACATTAATTAGCTGATTTGCCACTATTCCTGTCTATACTTTCCAGTCCAGTTCCCTTCTTGAAGCATTATCTGCTCTTTGCACTACAGAAAGGTGTTCTTGTGTCTTAGCACAGTTAAGAAACAGTTGCAGGGATACAGGCAAAGTTTCCAGACAAAATCAGAACAGAAGTTGACAAATTTATTCAAGAAGTAATCTAATTAAGTAAAAGCACTTTACAATTTGATCACGACAAAAATCACAAATCAACTCTGAAAACATGAAATCATTACAGTGGTTGAGCACTGCTTACATGTATCTGCAAGGCTGGGTTGTTGGGTTTTTTTGACATTTATATTTTGTTTTGTCTTTTGATTTAAAAATTAACTGTTAAAATGAAACAAAAAAGAATTTTCAATTGCTTACTACCATAAGTCACCCTTCAATGTTTAAGAGGAAATGTGTCCTTAAAAAAATTTCTAGTTTCTCATGAAATCTATTTTAATGAACAGGAAGATCTAGCAAATGTCTGGAACACAATCACTTCTTAGATTAATGCACTTTTTGAAAGCAGCTTGCATGTCCAATTTACTTTACAGTAGATCATAATCAATCTCACTGACTCTAAAATTCACACATCAGTGCTGCTTCTTGCAACCCAAGAAACTTGGATAATTTATTAATTTTATGGCAGAATTAAATAAAACTATTAAGTTTCAGCTGGCATTATACAGCTTTCCAGAAAATAAAAGCAATGTCTCTGCAACAAAATTAGTTGAAATTCAGTGCTCAGATTTTTAAAATGTACAACTGAGTTAGTGGAAAAACTTATATAATTTTTTTTTTTTACACTTATGCTTAATTCTCAGCTAACTAGTTCCTGGAAGAAGACACAATTAAGTAACTCTTTTGATGGCTATGG